TTTTTTGTGTGGTTTTTTTTTTTTTACTGAGATGAAGTAATGGGAGGACTTGTTAAGGGGGTCTGAGAAGGAAGAAGAGACTGTTGGGAAAAGGAGAAACTAAATATGGAGGAATGAGGGTAAAGAGGAGAAGGGAGATAGAAATGGAAGTGCATGAGAAGAAACACTGCAAATAGGAGAAAAAGAAGAGGAGCAAATGAAAGCTAGGGAGCTGAATATTAAACAATTAAAATGTAGATGTTTAAAATATAGTACCATAAGTATAACCAATACTGTAAACTGAGCCACAAAAGTATTTCCTATGAGAGCTTAGAAAGTAAAGATACAACCAGTTACTGATATCTCTCTGTGTCAAAACTGAAATGTCTGTGGATCCCCTACAGGAACTCCAAAATACTACGTCACAAGATTTCTGAAATGTTACATATTGCCTGGGCTCTATGAACTTGCCAGTCCAGCCCTGGAGATCCTTCTGTTAATATCACTGAAATAGTTTAATGATATATTTTCACTTTCATTTAATATTAATTTCATGTTAGCATGTCTAAGTGATTTCATACCACGTAAGCCCCCTCACTGGTGGACTAGAGTTCCTTTTGGTAAACCATATGTATTTCCATCATTGTTGGCATCATAAAAATCCCACTTCCTTGATGTCAAAGTAAATTAGTAGCAATTAACATGTTACACATTCTGTTTCTTTCTGACACTCATTGATTGGTTATATTTTGGATGCTGGTATACTGAAATTCCATCATATCAAGAGAGGCCAGTGCAATCAAACTGGCAGACAGCATATGAGTGACATAATTTAGTGCCAGATTAAAAATTCATAGCATTTCATCTGAAAACAATTCTGCTCTGTCAACACAAACCATTTGTTTTCTGGTAATTATTGCTTCACTTGTTGAAAACCATCAAAATGGCACCATGGAAGAAGCAACTTGGGAATTTAATTAATCTTCAGCCCCCTGAATGCACCCCTTGCTCAATGCATCTTTAGGTGTTGCAGAAAAGCCAATAAATGCTTAATGAGCCATGTAAAATTGATCTGAACTTTTTCTTTTTTTTTTAACTCCAAGCACAGCCTACCAGATACCATGGTGATGAATGTGCCAGAAATACTCTGTATGTTATAATAATTTTTATATCTTACTCATCCAACAAAACACACTTCACCTGTGTGGGCTGGTAAGAAAAAACTTGCAAGACTGGCTTACATAACTTTTGAAGAGTTAAACAACAGGTACACAAATTTAACTGTGACTGTTCAATATAGTATAAAACTGTGGTTATGTCTACACTTGGAGCTAAAGGTGTGATTCCCAGCACACACAGACTTACCCATGGTAGCTCTGCCAGTAATTTACCTGATTTTAAGTTCAATCCATTATTACTAATTATAGTATTATCCCATATACCATCCCAAACAATTCTCCCTCACTCTTAGTCTGCATCTACGCTTGAAAGAAGGGGTGAGATATCCAGCTCATGTCGATATACCCACACTAGCTTGAGTTCGTGCACTAAAAATAGCAGTGTAGCTGGGGTCGCATGGACAGTGCTGCTTGGGCTAGTTGCCTAAGTACATACCCAAGGGGTTCGGGCAGGTACATAGTTAGGGCAGCTTGCCTGAGCTGCCACTTGTGCTACCCTAGCTACACTGTTATTTTTAGTGCCCTAGCTCTGCTCGAGGTAGTGCGGGTATATGCTATTTTGACTTTGGAAAATAAAGGCATTAACATTTTAGTATTGGTGACTTTTTCATGCTTGGAACAAGAATTTTCTTAAAGCTGCAATTTTTTTATCCTAAGAACTAAAATAACACTAGAAGCCTTAGTTCAGCTGAAACCTGACAGACATGACAGAATAAGACTTAGTACAAGTAAAAATGTATTTTGTATAGATTACTTACATTCTTAACGTCATTTTCATGGTGAAAAATGTATTCGAACAATGCCTATCAGAAGAACATTTGAGACATTATCATGTTTGAAGAAAAACATTAATACCTTATATAATAAACACTTTGGGTTCTCAGAATGTAATAATCACCAATTACTATTCTAAAATAGCAAACACAGTTACACATAACTCTATTGAAACATTAAATGGACTTTGAGTTAGATGAGCAAAATCTACTGGTGTACTGTGTTGCCAGGAGATAATAATTTTTACATTCATAGTACAGTATATGAAATTACTAGGGTTGTCTATAATGTTTGGCTTTTAAAAAAATGTATTTTTAAAAACCAAAGTGTCTAATCTAGAAGTGAAAGTGACATTGTGGGGTTTCATGTTTATAGTCTCTTTACTTATGGAAAGAGCTTGATCCTGCAAAGACTTATGTACATGCTTAATTTTATGCACTGTGAGTAGTCTGGAAGTCAATGGAATTTAAGCATAGGCATATGTCTTAAGGACCAGGGCTCAAATTTGTTCAGTTTACGAGTGAAAATTGGCTCTTCTAAAGTTTGACACTTCATAGTCAACCATTCTGGAATCTGTAAAAAGCAACAGAGGGTCCGGTTTGCACATCATCATTAGTAAAAAGATTCTTCATCTGAAACTTGGCAAACAAGTTTAAGGATCCAGAAGAGAATGCATCTCAATCTCTACAGCTCTGTTGACTCTTCAGTACTACTAAATATAGATGTATTATGGTAAGAAAAATATTCAGTCAAGACTGAATATACAGAGGGAAAAGATTGGTTCGGGGGGGAAGTTCTGATTTTTTTACAAAGACATTTTTCTGACCTGAACTGCATTTTAAAGTGAATTTAATGCTAGCGAAAGATATTCGGTTCTCCACAATGGAGACTGAAGTCCTCTGTTTATTTACAGAACTGATAGGTGACTTTGCAGTGTTACTACCTGTGCTATCATGAAACCTGATATAATATTACTCAGGTACCAATCAGGTACCAATATCCAAAAAATCATTTTTCTAAGTGCTGGATGCCAGCAGTGAACAGCTGTTAGTTATTCTGTACACTTCAAACATTAAGTCTATAATCACAGACATCCAAAATGACATACGATGAAGCAGAGGCTTCAAAATTTAATAAACTCATCATAACAAGACTTTTGGTGGAGGGGGTGATTAACAGCAAACATGATAAGAGAGATACAAATTAATTAAGGGTATAGAAAAGGTAGATAAGTCTCTAATTACCTCCTCTCATATTACAAAACAAGGAAACATTCAATAAAAGTGAGAAGTAGCATACCTAAAACTGAAAAGTAAACATTTTCTTGTATGATTTGCCTGTGATATTGCCCCAAGATGATATTGAGGCCAAAAACGTAACAGGATTAAGTAAGGCTGGACACGTATATGGATAAGAATAGTTAGAATTACAATAGTAAATCTTTATTTAAAAATAAATTTTGAAAGGGATATAAATCCTCCTGCTTTAGGACATAAATCAACCTCTAGGTACTGAAAATTAGAAAGAACCTTTCCTTATGTACAGCTAAGGAATACTCTGTCTCCTATATGGTTTCTTGCATCTTACTCTGAAATCAGAGGGGTAGCTGTGTTAGTCTGTATCTGCAAAAACAACAAGGAGTCCGGTTTTATTTATTTGGGCATAACCTTTTGTGGGTAAAAAACCCACTTAAGATCTATGCATCTCATTGTTTTTTAAAGCCTGCCACCGCACAGTCCGCACCCAAGACCGTAGGAGGCTGCGGGGGCCAGGGACAATGGTGGGGTGGAGCCCAGAACTGGCACCTGCTGCCGTGTGGCTGGGGGCTGGGGCCAGGGCTCAAAGTCTCATGACTGGAGCCTGGCACCCGTCATCCCACGCTGAAGCCCGAAATCCGAGCCTCACCACCCCTGGGAAGGTGGGAAACTCAGGATGCATGCTTATCTGGTGTTTGTGGCTCCAGATGGGGGGAGGGCCCAACCCCTTCTGGTGGCCCCGGGGGAGAGGTACTGCTCTGCGCCCCAGGAGACTGTGGCTGCAAGAAAAGCCCCTGGTGGCCATGGTGGCCGCATTTGAGAAACACTTTTTTAGTTTATCAATTTGTTCCAAAACCCCCTCTAATGACACCTCAATCTAGTACAGTTCCTCAGATTTGTCACCTAAAAAAATGGCCTCACATCCTCAGCTATGAAGACTGACGCAAATAATTCATTTAATTTCTCTGCAATGGCCTTATCTTTGCATGTTCCTTTAGCATCTTGATCATCCTGTGGCCCCACTGGTAGTTTAGCAGGCTTCCTGCTTCTGATTTTTGTTGCTATTACTTTTTGAGTCTTTGGCTAGCTGTTCTTCAAATTCTTTTTTGGCCTTCCTAATTATATTTTTACATTTCATTTGCCAGAGTTTATGCTCTGTTCTATTTTCCTCACTAGGATTTAACTTTCACTTTTTAAAGGATGCATTTTTGTCTCTCATTACTTCTTTTACTTTGTTTAGCCACGGTGCCACTTTTTTGGTTCTCTTACTATGTTTTTTAATTTGGGATATACATTTAAGTTGAGCCTCTATTATGGTATCTTTAAAAAGTTTCCATGCAGCTTGCAGGGATTTCACTTTTGGCACTGTACCTTTTAATTTCAGTTTAACTAATTTCCTCATTTTTGTCGTCCCCCTTTTTGAAATTAAATGCTACAGTGTTGGGCTGCTGTGGTGTTTTCCCCACCACAGGGATATTAAATTTAATCGTATTGTGGTCACTATTACCAACCGGTCCAGCTATATTCACCTCTTGGACCAGATCCTGTGCTCCACTTAGAACTAAATCAAGCATTGCCTCTCCTCTTATGGGTTCCAGAACTAGCTGCTCCAAGAAGCAGTCACTTAGAGCGTCAAGAAAGGTTCTCTCTTCATCCCGTCCTGAGATGCTATGTACCCAGTCAATATGGGGATAGTTGAAATCCCCATTACTGAAGTTTAAAAATTTTTTTTAACCTCTCATCTCCCTGAGCATTTCACAATCCCTATCACCATCCTGGTCAGGTGGTTGGTAATATATCCCTACTGCTATATTCTTATTATTAGAGCATGGAATTACTATCCATAAAGATTCTATGGTACAGTTTGGTTCATTTAAGATTTTTACTTCACATGGTTACACAGACTAGCTATGTGAACTTAATGGTTATGAGATTTATCATCTCTTTGCACGTTGGAGAGGTGAGAGCTCAGAGTTTTACAATTTTAAGCAACAATTCTTTTCACAAAATGAAATGAGGATCTTAAAACTTCATCATGCTATGGCTTTAGTGTCAATGCTGTCTTCTCCTTAAAAAAAAAGCCCTGCAAATCCATAAATCTGCACATTTTAACTCAAGTCTTACTTTCTATAAGAAATATTAATGTCATATTACGTTAGCTTTCTAACACTGATAATTGTACTTACTCCCTGTGGATGTGTCTAGTAAGATTCATTAGACTAAGCGTCTTCTGAGCTGAAAGTGATGATTCACTTCAGCTTTTGAAAAAGTGCTAAGTTTTCAAGTGAGATGCTGTTTAAAAAATGTGTGCATGTGTTTGCATGCGTGGATGTGGATCACAAACTAAATATGAGTCAACAATGTAATGCTGTTGCAAAAAAAGCAAACATCATTCTGGAATGTACTAGCAGGAGTATTGTAAGCAAGACACAAATAATTCTTCCATTCTACTCAGCACTGAGAAGGCCTCCACTAGAGTATTGTGTCCAGTTCTGAATATCACACTTTAGGAAAGATGTGGACAAATTGGAGAAAGTCCAGAGGAGAATAAAAAAAATCATCAAAAGTCTAGAAAACATGACCTATAAGGAAAGACTGAAAAAACTGGGTTTGTTTCTTCTAGAGAAGAGAAGACTGAAAGGGGACATAATAGTATTCAAGTATGTAAAAGGTTGTTATAAAGAGAAGGGTGATAAACTATTCTCTTTGACCACTGAGGATAGGACAAGAAGTAATAGGTTTTAATTGCAGCAAGGGAGATTTAGATATTACGGAAAAATTTCCAACTGTAAGGGTAGTTAATTAATCATTGAACAATTTACCTAGGCAGGTTGTAAAATCTCAGTCATTAGAAGTTTTTAAAAACAGGTTAGACAAACACCTGTCACGATGGTCTAGACAATACTTAATCCTGTTTCAGTGCAGGTATTGAAATAATGACCTACTGAAAACCCTTCCAGTCCTATATTTCTTACTCCTGGGAGAATTCTGTGCCACTGTGCATGTGCAGAATTTATGTTCCCCTGCAGATTTCTTTGCTTCTCCACAGAAAAATGACTTTCTGATGGGGAAGCAAAGGGAAGCCACGAGCGGTCATGTATCCCTTCCCAGAAGTATGTTTCGGGTGCCCAGGGCAGCCAGCAGTTAGGTAAATCACTGTGGGGCAGCAGGCAGGACCGGAGAAGACCTGGCTTGTAGCTTCTACCGTGCACTGTGCTCAGCTGCTAGTCCTGGCTGGGCTGAGGAGGAAGGGACTTCCTCTTCCCCTGCACAGCATCCAGGGCTGTGACAGACCCACCCCCAGATTTCTCCCCTGGCTGTAGGAAGCTCTGCAAACTCTCCCCTCCCCCATGCTTCCTGTACCCATTGCTCCTCAACTGCAGGAGGAGGAATCACTGCACAGGGAGCTGCTCCCCCATCCGCCCAACCCCTTTGCATTCAGACCCCCTCATACCCTCCCCCTCGCACCCAGAACCCCTCCTGGTGAGCCCCATTCCCCTGCAACTGGACCACCCCAACGAGCCACCCGCACCTGGATCCCCACCCTACCGAGCCCCAACCAGCTGCACCTGGATTCCCCACCCCACTGAGCCCCACTTCCCCAGCATCTGGACCCCCCACACTGACACTCTCTTCCAGGCACTATCCCCCCCACACCCAGATGCGCCCCCCTGAACCCTCAACTACCTTCACCTGGACCCCCCTGCAGAGTCCCATTACCGTTGCACCCAGAACCCTCCAACAAGCCCCTGTGCACCCGGATCCCCCACTGAGCCATCCATACCCAGATTGCCCCCAAAAGAACCCTCTCAACCCACACCTGGATCCCCCCACACTAAGTCCCTCCACACTTGGATCCTGCCTTGCTGAGCCTGCCTGCCCACACCTAGTGCACCTGGCATGGAGGGGAAGGGCCCTGGGGTGTTTCTGGGGCAGGCCCAGTCCTTGCGCTGTGACAAGGTTGGGTGCAGCTCACCGCTGAGTCTGATCTCCCACCTCTGTGCAGCCAGTGGCCTGTGCTCCCCACTGCAATTCTGGAGCTTCCACATTTATTTGACAAATAGAATTTGCAGAATTTTAAAATACTGTGTGCAGAATTTTTAATTTTTTGGTGCAGAATGCCCTCATGAGTAAAAATTTCTATGATTCTATTCATATTATTACTGCAATTGAAGGTGTCAATCTGGAATGTGAGTATGCAAGCAACTTAACTATCCATCTGCATGTAGAGTTTCCAAATCTACACATTTAGTTGCAGTAAACACACATTTGCATACAGAACACCCATCTGATTGATTTAAAAATTTGTCACATTTTAATTAAGTTTTTGTTTAAGTGCCTTAAAATTTAGAAGAAAAGGGGATTCAGAGTTCAGGAAAAATCCTCACCTATCTAGGCTTCAGGAATTCCCCACATATTCCCATTTAAGACACTTACAAAGATAGGGTTTGTTTTTGTAAAACAATGTACAAATAAGTGTGTATTAATTACAGTCCTAGATAGGCTGACTGCCATTAACAGATTTAAAGGCAGATGTGCAATGCTCACCATTGCACATCTCAAAAAAGGGACTTCCACCTCTAGGTCACTAGTCAAATACAGCTCAGGTCAGAAGAGAATCAGCCCATCTGATAGCCTTCCAGTGGCCTATGCGAAGTGAACTGTGGGGATCAGTCCACTTTCTTGTGGGCAGGTATCCACATAAAGACACCACCAACCAAGTGGCACTCTTGTAGAGAGACTCAGTTGAGAGGTCACCCAATGATAAAACATGAAACAAAATCATCTTTGCATTCCTTCAGATGAGGATTGAGTTACATTTGTGAGGGAAGGCACACTGATATACTTGTTCTGTTGGTAGAGGACTTCAGTTTCTCTGGCTGTCAATCATGAGAACTAAACCGACTAAAAAAATTATGAGCACTAATGCTAGTGGAAAAATAGATCTAATATTAAAAAGGAAAGTAAGTCATGCCTTGAAAGCAAAGGAAAAAATCCAAACACTTTAAATCTTTTTTTAGATTAACAGTGTAGACTTTTATTCATACTCCCAATTCATCCACAAAATTCTCTTCTTGGAGGCTGAACAAGGCATTGTCTTGCCTTTTGTCCATCTTGCATGCATGGTTCAAGATTCGTTGAACCATTAAACAACATTATCTGATGTAATAGTTCTTGAAAGTAACTGCACGTTCTACCACCATAACATAATGGCTTAGGTATGTTCAATGCCTCCTTTTAAACTTTGATTTAGTATTGTCTCTTCACAAATGTTTTCCAGTCTGGGGCAGACTGCTAATATTTGTGGACCTAGCATAAATACACCTTAAAATAACGTCAATTCTGTAAACTGAAAAAAGTCACGTTTTCTCACTTTAAGATTACAAGTTTAAGGAATGTAATGTCTTCTTTATAATAGCATAGAATGGATATGTAGACTGTAATTATTCCCATTTATTTCTTTTCAAAGGAGGTCTATGAGAATAAACAGCAGTATAAAAATATACTGAGGGTACATGCACACCTATGGTCTCAGATTCTGGAGTGTCTATTTTGAGTCTGGCAACCTATGTGGAAGATACATTGGCCTTCCTATGTTAAGCTGCCGCCCATATACAACCTTCTGCAGTTCGGAGTTATGCAGCTTGGATCAGGAGGGAGGGAATGAGCTTATGTAAATGAATTGCTGATATCCTGTACTGGACCTGTCCATCTCCCCTTACTGGGGCTGAGCAGCCTGTTGGAGTCTCTTAATCTTAGACTGGGTCTACACTACCCGCCTGAATCGGCGGGTAGAAATCGACCTCTCGGGGATCGATTTATACAATCAATCCCCGAATCGACGCTCTTACTCCACCAGCGGAGGTGGGAGTAAGCGCTGTCGACGGGAAGCCGCAGAGGTCGCTATTTGCGTAGCTGAATTTGCGTATCTTAAATCGACCCCCCCCCCCCCGTAGTGTAGATGTAGCCTAAGATCTTGAAAAGGAAGGAGAGAGAACCAAGAAGAATATACTGGTGAGAGGTCTTCCAGCTCCATCCACTGGGGCATAATAGGGGAAAGACCTAATGTTTCCTTAGGACCCTCCCTCTTATGACTGCAATTTCTTCAGACATGGTTCGTTGGAGAAACAGATGAGGCTTTAGTTTGAACGGCCTTTGCTACTTTTCCCGATGGACACAAAGGTGTCAGAGTACATTTGTGTCCAAGTATAATGTCTGTGCTCATACAGATGGATTCTTAAAACAACAAAAAAACAAAACAAAAAAGGCTTCCCCCATCTAAAGAAGGTGGGGGGGAAAATAGCTGACCCCATATTAGTACAATTGAGGTTCCAAATACTGCTGCTAGGCACTTCATTTCTGCATTTATAAGACAGGTCTACTGCCAAAATGTCAATTTACCACAGTATTGGGGATTTGAGGATTGTTAACATTGAGAAATACCTAATGCAATGTGTTATGATTGCTAACAAGAGAGCACTTTCTTCTCTGAGTAGCGAGCAGTCTCCTCAGCTGCTGGACCTTGAAAGATTGTGGTACCCCCATAGTCCAGCAGCTGCGTAGGAAATATTAGGCTGGAAAGGGTCTTAAAAATCTAGAAGAAGAGAGACACTAACAGTAAATTAACATTGAAGTGATATTAAATATAGCAGAACATTGACCAAAATAGTCACATACCTTTGCTAACTTTGGTTTTTGAGCATATTTTGCTAAATTCAATCTAGACAAGTTTATGAAAGGACCTTCTGGATTTGTGAGCATAGAGGCCTGAAAAAAAGTGTTAAACAGAATGAACCTATTACACTATACAAATACATTTCAAATATCAGATGAAAAAAACCTTCAGTTATAACTGCAGTAGAGTATGTGATTTAAAAAAAAAAGAGAAGCTTTTTTTTTTTTTTGGCAAAGACTTGGGAAGAACTGCTTATATGCATATATAGCAGGAGTTCAACAACACTTTTTGCCTACAAAACCCCCCCCTAGTTTGCATTACGTCTTCAATCCAGACACACTATTGGTGATTTTACTAAACACAGCATAAATTAGCCAGATTTAATCTTAGTAACTCACTGGTGATTTTAAAGAGAGACTACTGTTCTCGAACAGTGCAAAAAAATAAACAAAAGTGGAAAACTTGGAGAGGGCTCCATCCTGCTTCTGTTGAAGTCAACAGTTTTCTTCATGGAGTTCAGTGAGTGAAGAATCAGGACTGCAGAATTTCCTTTTGTGAAATTTTATGCATATTTAAATACAACAAAATTAACAAGTAAGGTTTGATAGCATTTTATTCAATTTTTTTTTAAATATAGAGCTTGGCTATCTACTTCGTATTACTTGAGCTAACTTCCCCCAAGTTTGATTTTTTTCAGACGTAATTTTTAAGCTAAACTACATCATCATAGAAGGGAAAGCCATCCTTCATAGTAGTAAAGCCAAGCCACTCACCGTTCCTAGTCTGACATATCTTCCAGAAGCACTAGTAATTGGGCGAGCAGTATGAGCAGTTCTGGGAGTTCTTATAGCCTGTTCCATAGTGCCAGGTCGTCCACTTTGGGTGCTGGGTCGCACAAACCCTGTAACAGGTCTTCCTGACTGAGTCACTGGCCTAAATCGAATAAACAAATGTTAAAATGAAGAGCAGATGAGGGAAATGTGTTCATAGAATCCTAGCGATGTAGACTAGCTGGAAGGACCTCAAGAGCTCTTCTACTCTCCCTCCCTGGGCTGAGGAAGGACCAAGTAAACTTTGATCATCCCTGACAGATGTCAGTCTAACCTATTCTTAAAAACTTCCAAGGATAGGGATTCCACAACCTCCCTTAGAAGTCTATTCTAAAGCTTAACTACCCTTATAGTTAGAAAGCTTTTCCTAATATCTAACCTAAATCTCCCCTGCAGCAAATTAGGCCCATTACTTCTTGTCCTACCTGCTGTAGATATTGAAAACAATAGATTACTATCCTCTTTACAACAGCCCTTTTCATATTTGAAGACTGTTATCAGATGCCCCTTCAGTCTTCTTTTCTCAAGACTAAACATGCCCAATTTTTATCCTATCCTCATAGATCAGGTTTTCTAAACCATTTATCATTTTTGTTGATGTCCTCTGGACTTTCTCTAATTTGTTCACAGCTTTCTTAAAGTGTGTTGCCCAGAACTGAATACACTACTCCAGCTGAGGCCTCACCAAGGCCGAGCAGAGTGGGATAATTATCTCCTATGTCTTACATGGGAGGTAATTAATACATCCCAGATTATATTAACCTTTTTTGCAACTGCATCACACTATTGGCTCAAGATCCAGGACCTGATGGTATTCACCCAAGAGTTCTGAAGGAACTCAAATGTAAAATTGTAGGACTACTAACTGTCATCTATAACCTATCATTTAAATCAGCTTCTGTACCAAATGACTGGAAGATAGCTAATGTGATGCCAATTTTTAAAAAGGGCTCCAAAAGTGACCCTGGAAACTTCAGGCCAGTAAGCCTCACTTCAGTACCGGGCAAATTAGTTGAAATTATTGTAAAGAACAAAATTGTGAGACACCTAGATGAACATAATTTGTTGGGGAGGAGTCAATATTTTGTAAAGAGAAATCATGCCTCACCAATCTACTAGAATTCTTTGAGGGGGTCAACAAGCACGCAGACAAAGGAGATCCAGGCGATATAGTGTACTTAGATTTTCAGAAAGCCTTTGACAAGATCCCTCACCGAAGGCTCTTAAGCAAAATAAGTAGTCATAGGATAAGAGGGAAGGTTCTCTAATGGATTGGTAAGTGGTTAAAACAGAGGTGGGCAAACTACGGCCCGCAGGACCCTCCTGCCCGGCCCGTGAGCTCCTGCCCCAGGAGGTTAGCCCCCGGCCCCTCCCCTGCTGTTCCCCCTCCCCCGCAGCCTCAGTTCACTCTGCCGCTGGCGCAATGCTCTGGGCGGCAGGGCTGCAAGCTCCTGGGGCTCCGCAGCTACAGAGCCGCGGCCTGACCCGGTGCTCTGTGCTGCGCGGTGGTGTGGCTTGCTCCAGCTGGGCGGTGCAGCTGCCTGTCCTGGTGCTCTGGGCACGCTGACTGTAGTGCCGCCAGCCACCAGTGCTCCAGGCAGCATGGTAAGGGGGCAGGGAGCAAGGGGGGTTGGAGAGAGGGCAGAGGATTTCGGGGTGGTGGTCGGGGCATGGATAGGGTTGGGGTGATCAGAGGGTGGGGAACAGGGGATTTGAATGGAGGCAGGTGTTCCCAGGGGGCAGTCTGGAAGGAGAGGAGGGGTTGGATGGGGCAGCAGGGGGCAGTCAGAGGCAGGGGTTCCAAGGGCGGTCAGGGAGAAGGGGTGGTTGGATGGGGCAGGGGTCCCTGGGGGGGCCAGTCAGGAATGAGGAGGGTTTGGATGGGGTGGTGGGGGGCAGTCAGGGGCAGGGGTTCTGGGGGCTGTCAGGGGACAGGGAACCGGGGGTTGGAGAGAGTAGGAGTCCCGGGGGGGCCGTCAGGGGGTGAGAAGTAGGAGGGGTCGGATGGGGGCGGGGCCAGGCCACACCTGGCTGTTTGGGGAGGCACAGCCTCCGCTAACTGGCCCTCCATACAATTTTGGAAACCCGATGCGGCCCTCAGGCCAAAAAGTTTGCCCACCCCTGGGTTAAAAGTTAGGAAACAAAGGGTAGAAATAAATGGTCAGTTTTCAGAATGGAGAGAGGTAAATAGTGGTGTCCCCCAGGGATCTGTATTGGGCCCAGTCCTATTTAACATATTCATAAATGATCTGTAAAAGGGGTAAACAGTGAGGTGGCAAAATTTGCAGATGTTGATAAATGCAAAGTATTGCACACTGGAAAACATAATCCTAACTATACATATACAATGATGCGGTCTAAATTAGCTGTTATCACTCAAGCAATAGATCTTGGAGTCATTGTGGATAGTTTTCTGAAAACATCCACTCAATGTGCAGCGGCAGTCAAAAAAGTGAACAGAATGTTGGGAATCATCAAGAAAGGTATAAATAATAAGACAGAAAATATCATATTGCCTCTATATAAATCCATGATATGCCCACACCTTGAATACTGCGTGCAGATATGGTCACTCCATCTCAAAAAAGATCGATTGGAATTGGAAAAGGTTCAGAACAGGGCAACAAAAATGATTAGGGGTATAGAACAGCTTCCATATGAGGAGAGATTAATAAGAGTGGGACTTTTCAGCTTGGAAAAGAGGTGACTAAGGGGGGATATAATAGAGGTCTATAAAATCATGAGTGGTATAGAGAAAGTAAATAAGGAAGTGTTATTTACTCCTTCTCATAATACAAGAACAAGGGGCCACCAAATGAAATTAGTATGTAGCAGGTTTAAAACAAACACAAGAAAGTAATTTTTTCACGCAATGTACTGTCAACCTCTGGAACTCATTGCCAGAGAGTGTTGTGAAGATCAATACTATAACGGGGTTCAAAAGGGAGCTAGATAGGTTCATCAATGGCTATTAGCCAGGATGGACAGGAATCATGTCCCTAGCCTCTGTTTGCCAGAAGCTGGGATTGGGTGACAGGGCATGGATCACTTGATAATAACCTGTCTGTTCATTCCCTTTGGGGCACCTGCCATTGGCCACTGTCAGAGGACAAGTTCCTGGGCTTGATGGACCTTTGGTCTGACCCAGTATGGCCGTTCTTATGAGATCAATTCTCTAATTTCTCAGTGTTCTTTTGAATGCTAATCCTCCAGAGTGCTTGCAATCCCTCCCATCTTGATTTAATATGCAAATTTTATAAGCATACTCTCCACTCCTTTAGCCAAGTCATTAATTAAAACATTGAATAGTACCAAATACAGGACTGACCTCTGAAGGATTCCACTAGATACATATCTCCTTCCAGTCTGACAGCAAACCATTGGTAATTATTCTTTGAGTACAGTCTTTCAACCAGTTAGTTATGCACCCACCTTATAGTGACATCATCTAGATCATATTTCTCTAGTTTGCTTATGAGACTGTGTTACATGGGACTGTCAAAAATCAACTAAAAAATCAACATGGATCATGTTTAATGCTTCCCCCCCATCCATTCTACATCAGTAACCCAGACAAAGAAAAAAATTTAATTGGTTTGGCATGATTTGTTTTTGACAAATATTACTTATCCTATAGGTGCTTACAAACAGATTGTTTAATAAACTTGTTCCAGTATCTTTCCAGGTATCAAAGTTAGCCTGACTGGTCTATAATTCCCCAGGTCCTCTCCTCTCCTCCCCTTCTCTAAAGACAGGTACTATATTTGCTCTTCTCAAGTCATCCTGGAGTAGAAGTGGTATTTCCATCAATTTATCAATACAGAAACGCTACACATTTAAACCTAACATTTTGTAATTTGTAAAACTTAATATGTTACATTAATATGAAGATCCTAAATTTAATATATTTACAAGTTAAAGCTGCCAAACATAAGGAAATGCATACCTAACAGCTGGACTGGGACCTCCACCTTGACTGGTTCCAGGGAGTTTCAAAGAAGTTCCTGGGCCTACAAAATAAGAGTATCATCACTTAACGTTTGTATATAGCCACTCTAAGGCTGCATGGTACTTAAAGAGAATGAAGACCTGGTCCTCGAGTCAGGGACTTTACAGTCCAGATTAGACCTTGTGACATTTTCTTGGGGCATTCAGAACTGTAAGTCACCCTGTTATTCTTCTGCCTTAGCAAATGAGCTCCCCACCACCCCAGTCTGATAGCCAAACTCCTTAGAACGCTGCAAATTCTAATTTTCTTTCAATTAACTCTTGATGTACTTCAATTCCTGAATTCTCCAGAAGTGTCCCCCTGCAGCATGCTCACAGAAATACCAAGCCTGCTGTCTTCAAAGAGACAGAATACACACCAGCCTGTTGGCTCAGCTGAGGATGCACCCCTCATTTTATAACAGCACTGAGATGAAATTATAATAAAATAATATGTTCATTAATAAAAACACAGATATAAGTGATAGTAAGCAGAGACAACAGCAACATAAATTTGTTACAAATAAAACAAACATATAATCACATTTTATGCCACACTGGCCGTTCCAGAAGGCGGAAGAATCTGTGACTTCCGCGACCTCCATGACAAACACGGAGCCTTACTCATTAGCCATTTTTATTCTGAGTGCTATAGAAGTCAATACATAAATAAATAGTGGGACCATTTTTCAGAGGCTGGGTCTCTACCTTTCATCTCTGAGAGGGTTCTCCCCTCTCATTCCACCAACTGTTGCTCTCATTTCAAAAGCGCTCTTGAACTTGCCTACTATAGATATCTACTTTTATTTGTATACACCTTGCTTAACATTCATTTGCATGATATAAACTTCATCTATTAGCCACTGGCAGTCTTTCCCTAAGGTGCCAGCCAGAAGGTCACCTCCTTTTCAGTCCTTGTTTTAATTACAGGCTGACTATATTTGTCCATAATGACTCCTTGTTGAGAAAGGCAGATGGTGAGAAATCCTGAGAGAGGCTGTGTGGAAGAAGCCAGGAAAGGGCCAGAGATGGGCCAAAAAAGGACTCTGGGGAGGGGATTGTGTATTAGGAAAGGCCATACCACTAACAAGCTTTCTAGGAAATGGTCCTGGAAAACAGCATAGCAGGGCAGTCTTAAGTGAGGGCATACTGCTACTCACAATTTAGGATTCCAGGAGTAGGACTCGTATTAGAGGAAGGGTATGTGTCCCTTTCCACCTCCACCAATGCTAGCTCCTAGAGAAGTGGTACAGAAGCCCATACACTAAGAGGAAAAGAATTACTGAATCTGAGTGGAAGGCTGATGGAGTACTCTTGCCTTGAAAGTAGACTTTTGCTTTGGTTGAAAGGCCAAATCAGCAGCAAAAAATACACTCGAAATGAACTGCCCAGACAGAGAGGAACCCAAGGCACCAAGTAAAGGTAAATTGTGACAGCAGATGCATCCTGATACCAGGCCAGATATGTTGCTATTATATTCCTTAAGAGATGTGGGCTTTATGTAACTGAGTAGATTTAAAAATCTATCAAACTGCCAAATTAATAAACAAAACTATTTTTTTCCAGCTGAATCTCAATGTACCTTTTACGACGCCATGTTATATTACTGAACATTTATATTGTGATAATGCCTAAAAATCAACACTAGGTTGGTCCCTATAACATTATGTACCGTACAATTATATACTAGATGACAGTCCTGCCACAAAGAACTTTCACCTAAATGTATTAAAATGATGTAAGTCTGTACTTACGTGCAACTTGAGCAATGGCATTTTCATCAAGCATCATCTCTGCTATTCCCTCCTGATCTATATCAATTTCATCCACATAAACCATTTCTGTTAGAGCTCGTGTTTTCAAACTCCAAGCAGCCTACATAAGGATAAAGCAAATAAATAAACAAATAGAACTTTAAGTACTGGAAAGGAATCTAAAACACATTCAATTTTAGTAGGTTTTTAACTTTTTTTAATCCCTTCATAATTTAAATTTTGTTTGGGTTGAGAAAGGTAGCGATTTGACTGACTGGTTCAGGTGGCAGAATTTTGATGCACTAAATAAATACAAAACATTAGGACTGGTCTTTGGAACAATTGCTTAAGGTTCCATGACTGGAAACATTTCCAGCCTCAGTTCCAAATCACCAGTCTGTCAGTCTCCCCTTAGCCACACCATTACAAGAGGGGAAGGCAAATCATAGCCCTATGTACCTTACCCTAGGCAGCTCAGTGCACAGGGGAAAAAAATCTTAATCAATAGGGAACAAAGTGATCAAGTAGGACTCTTAAATGCTAACATTTATAACACTATTCAGTTTCAATACAGGCATCCTTTAAAAAAAGGAAAATCCAAATCTCCTTGCTTCAGAATAATCGCCACTAGTAAACATGTACATCTACCAATATACTAAGTCTAACCAACTGCACAATACCATTGCAACATTGTATGGTGAATTGGACAGGCAAATAGCTCAAGTGAACAATTTGGAACTGTGGTGGGCAACCTGCAGCTCATCAGGGTAATCCACTGGTGAGCCGCGAGACAGTCTTTACGTCGACCGTCCACAGGCATGGCCACCCGCAGCTGCCATTCCTGGGTAATGGAAGCTGCGGGAAGTGGCGGCCAGCACATACCCCATGTCGCTTCCCGCACCTCCCAGTGGCCGGAAACAATGAACCGCGGCCCCTGGGAGCTACGGGCGGCCGTGCCTGTGGACGGAAATGTAAACACTGTCTCGCGGCCTCCCAGCAGATTACCCTTACTGGCTGCATGCGGCCCGTGGGCCACAGGTTGCCCACGACTGACTTGGAAGGTTATATGGAATGGTAAATTACTCAATGATTTTGCTGTATGAAGAGTTCAGCATAGGCTGTTTCACTATCAAATCAGAGGGGAAAAGCTTCAGTGGTTAAATAGAAACTCTGGAGAACTAACATTGCAGATCTAGTTCCCTTTTTGATAACTTAATATACACGTACTTACAGGCCTAGGATGATAAAAGGGATTGCAAGATCAATCACGACTTTCTTTCAGACATAGAACAGACTACCATAAACATCCCAGAATGAGACTTATTAAAATAATCAGGTTTATTTCTTCCCTGACACTGGCCTAAACAGACCATTAGCAAAGTATGCGTAATGTTTGCAAATGAGAAATAGCAAGGTTAATTCTTCTCTAAATGAAACCAAAGGGATCAAACACACAAGGACAAATAATCTTTTTTTGAATCCAGAAACAGTGGAGGGCCTGCTATGGAAGGAACCTCAAACTTTTCATAGTGTGTACCACATTTTAATAGAAACTGACTCAGACTTTTCCTCATTTAGGATTGCATAGACTATCTCCTCTCACATTTGCATTATATAATATTTCTGTGGCAACTACAATAATTGCTTACATAGAAAAGAAATACTAGGAAAATGTATTTTAAGCTGTGTTTTAGTGCAGTTTGGAGCTGGGAGAAGAGAATGCATCTAAATAGCCAGTTCAACCACATTTGGAAATCTGTTAATAGTAATAGGAGAAAAGAACAGACCACGGCAATTTGAATCTAGCCCAGTCCAATGTAATCCACGTCTACTTTTTCTTATAGTTTCTCAACCTGTAATTTTGGTGACAACCTTTAATTTGCATTAAAAATGTGCAGTTAAAAGTTCATCTCATCTTTACATATTTTCATGAAGTTCCACACAAGTATTTTATTTCCATGCTATAGTCATCTTTTTGACGCTGTGTATTTCTGAAGTCCAATCTAGGCCAATTTCAGCAAATTGCTGGTATAGACATCAGTGTAGCCAACTCCTAGCATACATAAGAAAAGCTGCTTTGTAGTGATTTTCCATGAAATCTGCAGCTTCCCTGTTTATACTGGTGCAGCTATACCAATTGCTGAAAAAGGCTAATTTTAGTATTGGTAAGGCCTAGATAAAGCTTCACTCTTCTTCACCAACAAGAAGCACTAGGCAACTTTAAAAAAGCAACATGCATCCTTTTGTCATTATCAGTCAGCTATTGGAAAATTAGGGCCCTTAGGCTGTGCTTCTATGTTAAACTACTAATTGGGCATTATATAGCCAACAATAATCTTTTAAAAAATCACATACTATCGCCTAATTACACATCAGACTTCAGATTAGAATATTGCTTATGGCAATGCTTCAGTTATCAGAGTTTTGACCAAAGCAGCAATAGATGGAACATTACCAAATATGGAACTTAAAGGTTGCATGCATATAGGGATTTTTTTTATCTTGCAAGACAAGAGGATGATCCACAATCCTTGTTATCTGTTAATTATACAAGACCCATAAGAGAAGAAAGTACTGAATAAATCCAATACTGGTGCGTGTATGTAACAAAGTTGGCGGAATCCCCCTCCCTTCTCTAAAAAATGTAGATAGACTGCAACATAATTACTTCAACCCTCTGGTTAACTAAAGGAAGCTTAAGCATTTTCAGATGAAATAATAAATGTACAAAAAGATGCTAAAGGTGCATGGCAAGATAGCAGAAAAGACTGAGGTTTTTGAAAAATAAAATGGGATTTGTGAAAACATCTCCTTTCATATAATCTACTATTTAACCAGTGTAAAGTGATACAGGGCTTTGTTAGAACAATTATACTTGGCTACTGACTCTTCTGAAGAGAAAATGAAAAGTATACCTCTCTCCATCAAAACAGATAACTGTAACCAATTTTCTTGTCCATAACGAAACAGAATCTGGTTTTATTCACCTACGTCCTCGTTTTCTGAGATGCTGAGCACTTCATGACAGCCTCTGAGTAGTCTGTCAACTACAGCTACAACTCTGAATTACTTCAATAGGAGTTGCTCAGCACCTTTCCTGTCTATAAAAAGTGTGATAATAAGGTAGATGGTACAATGAGGAGCACTATAGAAGATCTTAAGAAAGCAAGGCATATTTGCCCAACACACCAGCTACACAGAGAAGCACTATTTATCTCCAAATCTGATGAGCTCACAGCCCTAACGTTTTTCTACCAATAACTTGTAGCAGTTCCTGCTATATGTTGTTTTATTCTAATATGGAATGCATTTTTTGCTTTCAGTTTACACAAAGGCCAAAATCTACAAGTTTTTAAATATATTCCATTTTATTAATAACAACTACAGGTTTTAAAAAACAGCCAATTTTAATCATTTACTGCAACACCATGCACAGCAATTTTCTGTTACTTCTTTCAGAATTAACCTAATACGAATTTGTAAAGACATTAATGTAGTGGGTACACAAACTTCTCCAGTCGTGCCCCCACTTACCATTAACGGAATCTGTCCATGCTCCCCCTCCATTATTGTACAGCCAAGGCTTCCTCAGTAGTGGAGCTTTGGCTGGGGATGGAACTGGGGATGGGGGAGGAGTTGAGGCTAGAGGTGGAGCTGGCCTGGGGGTGGAGAGGGAATGAGGGCAGAGCTGAGTTGGGGGCAGAACTGGGGTGGGGTAGGAGCTAGGGCTGGGAGCGGAGCAGTACTAGGGGCTGAACAGGGTTGGGGCGGAGAGGGGCTGGGAGCATAGCACACACAGCTGTGGATTCACATCCCTGGCTTGCCATGCACTAAGTCTCTGTGTAGACAAGCCCTAAGGAATTAAATGAAACAAACATCACTATATAACATGCTATAAACTCTTTTCAGTGTTTTTTCAAATATTGCTACTTATGAAAATTTTTACCTGAGTAACTGTGAATTCAGAATCAGGCTCCTAGAATGCATAAGAAAAGGAGGAGTGAAATAAGAAATGGAATCAAACAATGAAAAATCAAAACAAACCCATAAATGGAACAGCAATGTAACTAAATCAAAATACTTGATGTGACCTCCCTCGGCCATTACCCACCATTACTAGATTATTTTACTCCTCCACATTTTCAAGACTGAAGAGATGATCTCCATAATCAAACATGTAGATTTACAGTAAGTAACATCTCAGACATAGCTTGGTTTCTTGTTTCAGTTTGGTCACATTTGCCAAGTCATAGTTTAAACATTAGGGGTTTTAAAATGTAAGTATACCAGGTGAATACCCCATATACAATTATTTTTAAATGTACAACATCTGAAGGGACAGCTAAATACCATTGTTAAACTTAAGTGACACTCAGAAAATAAATCAGAATTTTAGATCCAGGAACATGTAACAAAATCCTCACACATGGCATGCATGAAGAAAAGGGATCCCAATTTTATTTTTTTTGTTAGCCACTGATGGCTTCATCATGAAGTTCTTAAAAGAAAATAAATATCTGCATACAAACAGGTCTTTGTATACATTATGATGGAGACAATGTATTTAATTCAATAAATGCTCAAAACATTATATTTTTCAAATTAATGCAATAGTACTGTAGCCACCAGTTAGAGAAGGCACAACACCTAAGGGGGGGGGGGGAAATCCCAACAACTTCAAGGTAATATTATGGCAAGTGAATTTGGGGACCTAAAACTTAAAACATTTGAAACCTTCAAGGAACACAAAGTCATTCTCGTACCAAAAAGAACCTGTCTGGCTCTGGAACACCAATGTAGAATCTGAAACCCAGGGTAAGATCATAGATTTTCCAGCTCCCTAAACTATAAGAGGGCTCACTTAAATTTTCCAATGTGTAAACACAAGATTGTCTACGTTTACTAATGGTGCAAAATATTTAGGCTTCAGTACACTAACGCAGCTCTTGCAAAAGAGTGAGCTGGTAGCAACAAACCCCATATTTAGATTGCCTACCATTTTCTAATAGAAAAGAATGACTTTTTTACTGAAAAGCTCTAACACCTTATTAAACAGTCAAATTTGGCAGGAGAAAAGAGTAAAGGACAGAGAAATGCCTTTTCTTTGTCCCTTCATTCTGTTCAGGTTTGGCTGATACCTGAACTATGAAAAATCACCATTCCCTTCTGTTACTTGCCTTGTCAACAAAATTGTGGTAGCATACTAAAATAACTGAACATTAACACTGTAATCTAAGGCTGGGCTCACATCGCCAAGGCAGGAGCACCACACACTACACCGATTAACAACAAAAGCAGACAGCTTCTTGGGGAGTGAGAGGAGAGATGGGCTGAACTTCCCTTGACAATCCACATCCTATGTACATTGACCCAGCACACAGCCCTACTTTGCTGTAATCCCGCCTCTTGGGGGTACAAGATAGGGAAGGTACCCCTCTCCACTGGAGAGAGGGGAAGAGAGAGAAGATAGAACCAGTCTGGCTCTTCCTCACCACCTACACAACCCAGCATATGACTCCAGCAGCCCATTTCTCCCACTTCCGCCAGAGCAAGTCTTCTTCTACTTGCTAATATAGTTAGCTGTGTTATAGTGATAAAGTTTCAGGGTTTAAATCCTGCTGCTGATGCATGATTTTTTGGGGAGGGGAAGTGTTACTACTCTATATAACAACATTTGTTTATACCTCTTTTCCTTTTAGGAAAAAAAATTAAGAAATTACTGACAAACTGTTCAAAGGATATTATTTAGATTGCAAAATCAAACACGCAAAAGTTAGACAATGCCAGCAATTCAGGTTGCGTGGGCTGTCAAGCTGTCTGGAGTGGCTCACGAATGTGGGTGCCAACCTCAGGCCAGATTGTTACAAACCAGGGCACAAACCCCAAACTGGTTGTGTGTTCTTAGATTTCACCAACCAAGTGTCAAATGTGAACCCCTCAACCACTATAACAGCCTTAACATGGAGTCACAGACAGTCCCCTTGGGCACTCGGGTCTATCTTGCCACCCAGGCAAGCCTGCCTTTGTGACAGATGGTCCCTTACACCAAAAAAATCACAATAATATTCAGGTCAGTCCCAAAGGACCAGTCCCTTACCGCAGGTCAATTGTATCTTAGATCTCTAACCAAAGACAATGCTCATAGCCAATCCTATATTAAACTAACTAAAGGATTATTAACTAAGAAAAAGAACCTTTACAAGGTTAAAGCAGGTAAATATATACCCACAATTGAGTTACAGTCTGAGGTTTCAAAAAGTAATAGAAGCTGCTGCAACGTGCAAGCTCTGTGTGTCCTTTAGGGCTAACCCAAGCTAAGCAGTTTGGGAATACCTTGCTTATGCTTAGAAATACTACCCTCTCCAAATTCCAAGAAGCATAATGATACAGATCCTTCTGGTTAGGGATTTTTATTCCCTTCCCCCAGTTCAAAGTGTGATGAGTGGAGGGTTTGTGCACATTCCCTCTACATGGGTGTGGAGGGAGGAATTAAAGTCTTTTGTCCACAGAGGTGCCAAAATGATTTGTCTGGTGTCTATAGGCCAGGGGTCGGCAACGTTCGGCACGTGGCTCGCCAGGGTAAGCACCCCGGCAGGCCAGGCCATTTTTATTTACCTGCTGACGCAGCAGGTTCAGCCGATCGCGGCCCCCACTGGCCGCGGTTCGCCATCCCGGGCCAATGGGGGTGGCGAGAAGCGGCGCGGGCGAGCGATGTGCTGGCTGTGGCGTCTTGCCGCCCCCATTGGCTTGGGGTGGTCCGCTGGAGCCGCCCACGCCGCCG